CCATATCTTACAAAATCCAAGCTGACCTTTTTACAGAAATTGACAGGCCATAGTAAAATCCCTGTGGAAATTCAGGGGACCCAGAGTAACCAAAACAATCTTGAAAAACACAAAATTATCAGTTCCTGAACTCAAATTTTAGAACAAAGCTACAGTAGTTAAGACAGTTTTGTACTTGTATAAATATAGATATAGGTCAATTGAATAGAATTGAGAATCTAGAATCTTCTACAACGATATAAAGCGCCTTATTTCAGGTATTTGCTAGTATTAGGGAATATGGTTGCTATTGTGTTTTGTTTTTTGGTCCTCCCCACTCCCCTGCTAAGCAAGCTTTCACGGCCACTTTATTCTGGTGATGATTTTTTTATATATATATTGGGGATTGAACTCAGGAGTGTTTAACCACTGAGATACATCCTCAACCTTCTTTATTTTTTATTTTGAGACAGGGTACTGCTATATTGCTGATGCCAGCCTCAAACTCACTATCTTTCTGCTCAGCTCCCCAGTTGCTGGGATTACAGGCGTGTGCATCATCATGCCTGGCCTGGTGATGGATTTTACCCCCTAACCATTAGGTTGACAAGTAACATTGAGTTATGAATTATAAAATGTATATAGGAAAATATATAAATCATGGATATTCAGTTTAAGGTGGTCCAGGGTCTCTTAGGATAGGCTTCTGCACAACATTCTATTTGGGACTTAATGCTAGCTACGTTGTTTCACCTATGAGTACAATCACTTAAAACCATGTAAGACTTTGTAGTATTTATTACCTGTCAATGGCTTTGGATTCCACAGACAAAAACTATGTGGATCAAGGTATATGTTGTGGAAGAGATTCAGTGTTCTTACTGCCCCTTCAGGTCCTTTATATCCTGCCAGAAAGATAATATATGCAGGTAGGAGGAGCAAGGCTTGTTTCAAAGGGAGTAAAATCAGGCAGGATTCTACAACCCCTCTTTTGTAATGTAGACCTGAAAATTTCAGTGCTGCTTTTGGTCACTGGGCAAATCTGGCTAATTATTCTGGAAAAAACAACTAATTAGTAATTATGCCAAAACCAAAATTATCTTTTTTTTCTATTATAGCAGATGATGTGCTTTGGCATCTAGATGGATCATACCAGCCAATGCCTCTCAACAGGAAAAAAAAAAAAAAAAAAAAAAAAAACTTTCATTATTTGGGGGAACATTTGGTGGTTAATACCCTGACTAGTCCTTTGGGATAATGTTTAGCTAAAATGAAAAATTCACCAGAAACAATACTGAATTAGTTTATAGTAGATATAGAACTTTAGTGCCTGTAGCCCTTTAATCTTGCAGCCCACAGTTATCTGTTTCACAACTGGCAGACATAAAAGGACAAATATTTATGATTCTATCTATATGAAAGATCTAAACTAGGCGAGGTTACTAGGGACTGGAGGGAGGGAAGTTGTTACTTAATGTGTACAGTTGTTTGGGGTGATGAGAAAGATAGTGATAATGGTTGTACATTATGAATGTAATGTCATTGTATACTTATATATAAAAAAGTAATTGAAACGGTAAATTTTGTTATATATTTTACAATATTTATTTTTATTTTTGCCACCAGAGATTGAAAGCAGGGGTGCTTTACCACCACTGAGCTGCATCTCCAGATCTTTCTTAAATTTTGAGACAGGGTCTCCCTAAGTTGCCCAGGCTGATCTTGAACTTGTAATCCTCCTGCCTCAGCCTCTCCAATCTCTGGGATTATGGGTGGGCACCATTGCACTCTGCTTTTACCAGTTTTTAAAATTCCAGAAATTTATTCTCTCACAGTTATGGAGGCTAGAAGTCTGAAATCAAGGTGTCAGCCAGGTTAGTTTCTTTTTGGAGGCTGAGAGAGAGAATTTGTTGCATGACTCTGAAAAACCAGCCTCTACCTCAGAGCAAAGCCTGTCTAAGGAAGGGGGCGTGGCCTTTGTCCTTGGAAAGACCCACAGAGCACTCCTAGGCACATACCCTTGTTTATCTACAAATAACAGGAGAGATCTGCTGAGCCAGGTGTCCCTGACTCAGTCAGGCTAAGTGGGCACCCATAGCAACCCCCTAGCAGCCACCAATCACCATGAGACCAGGAAAATACCTGGGATGCCAGATGACCCTCCCAGTAGTTTATGGTGGTTGATAACATGTAGGGAAACCATGTAGTTTAGCACGTACACCCCTCGTGCCTAAACCAATCAGTTCAAATAAATCCCCCTCTTGCACTAACCAATCACCCCTACCCAACTTGTTCCTGCCAGTGAATGTGCTAATCACGTTTTAGAGTTGTTGTTTGATTTTCCCGCGATGTGTGATGATTTCCTAAGAGATGCTATGATGTATGTGGGGGTCCCTGCCTTCCCCAAAGTGTGTATAAAACTGCTGGAGACCCTGGGCTTGGGGCCTCTCAGCGTCACCTGTTGCTGTGTGCATGCGAAGAACTGAGCTAGCTCACAATAAACACCTCTTTGCTGCTTACATCAATATGGGTCTCTGGTGGTCTTTTGGGGGTCCCGAATTCGAGCATAACAACTCTTTCCTAGTTTCTGAAATACCAGCAATCCTTGTAGCTTTTCTGCTTGTACATGCATCACCCCATTCTCTGATACCGTCTTTGTATGGCACTCTCTGTTTGTGTCCCAGTTTTAACATCAGTCATGTTGGATTAGTGCCCCCTCCCCCAAATCCAGTATGACCTCATCTTAATTTGATTACATATACAAGGACCCTACCTCCTAACTCCCTTCAGTGAGGTGTTTTAATACAGTTAAATTATTTTGTGATTCTAATACTGTGTGTTAAATGCACCAGTAGAGATACACAATGGGAAGTATTGAGGTGGAACAATTAATCTACTTGGGGCATGGGGTAGGGATGGAAGGTATCTTAGAGGAACCTCAGGTGAGGCTGGAGCTGTATCAAAGTAGCTCTTAAAGTGTGGTCTCTAGACCAGAAGCAATAGCATTAACTGGGAACTTTATAAATAGAAATTCTTGGCCCTTATTAAAGAATCAGAAAATCTGACATTGGGGCCCAGCAATCTGTTTTACAAGACCTTCCAGGAAATTCTGTAGAAAAATGAGAATGACTATTTCTAAAGAGTAAACAGTCCCATGATACTGTTGCTGACTCTTATGTAGACTATGTAGTGAAGAGGACAAGAGTGAATGTAGGGAGACCAGTGAGCAGGAAGTTGGGGTTCCAGGCAGTGGTGGTGAGATGGAGAGAAAGGTTATACATGGGAAATAAAATTAGTAGGACTTGGGACTGCCTGGCCTGGGGAGGGACAGAAAAGAAGAGGAGAGGTCAAAGATAACTCATATTTGGGTTGGGGCTCAGGATAGTCTTCAGATTTCAAGCTTGGGTAGGCAAGTGAAAGGTACTATTTATTACCATACAAATTGGAGAAACATGTATTTAGAGGGGAAATAATGATTTTAAATTGGCATGAATTGAATTTGAGGTGCCTGTGAGACTTTTTTAAATACCTTTACTTTATTTTTGATGTGCTGAGGATAGAACCCAGTCCCATCCACATGCGAGGTGAGTGTTCTGCCACTGAGCTACAACCTCAGCCCCTCCTGTGAGACTTTTAAGTAGAGATAACTTGCAGGCAATTGGGAATATGGTTCTAGACTAGAGCTTGTGCCTAAGCTCTGCCTTGGAGAGTGATATGGGTATCATGAGCACGTATGTGGGAATGGAAACTCTGCGAAATATAAGGGATGGAATATAAGAAGGAAATATAAAAGAGGAAAAGTCCTAGGACTGAGTCCTCTGGGAGGAAGAACATAGAGAAGAAGTAGCCAGTTGGATTAGTCATCTTCATTGTTATGACCAAAATACCTGACAAGAACAATTTACAAGCTGGGTGTGGTGGCGCAGGCCTGTAATCCCAGTGACTTCAGAGGCTGAGGCAGGAGGATCATGAGTTCAAAGCCAGCCTCAGCAACTTAGTGAGGCCCTAAGCAATTCAGTTGAGACCCTGTCTCTAAAAATTTATATATATATATATATATATATATTTTTTTTAAAGGGCTGGGATGTGGCTCAGTGGTTAAGCAACCTGAGTTCAATCCCCAGTACCAAAACAAAAAAAACAATTTAGAGAACAAAAAGTTTATTTTGGGTCACAGTTTCAGTAGTACAGTCTATCATTTGTCAACTCCATTGCTCTGGGCCCATGGTGAGGCAGAACATCATGGTGGAAGGGAGTGGCAAAAGAGCACTACTCTACTTATGGTGGTCAGGAAGCAGAGAGAAAGGGGGAAGAGGCCACAGGGAAAATGAACCCTTCCAGGGAGTACCTGTAATGTCCCACCTCCTCTAGCCATGCCCTCCTTGTCTATAGTTATCACCTAGTTAGTCCTTTCAAATTATTAATCCATCAAATGGATTAATCCACTAATTAGGTTCCAGTTCTCATAATTAATTATTTTGCTTCCTACTCATACAGGAAACTTTGCAGGACACCTCTTGACTGGTCCAAATCCTGACACCAGTGATGGACGAAGAAAACTATAAGGTTTTCTTGCCCTCCCGCCCCCCCACCAGAGATTTGCTGCTCTGTAATTCTTATATTGGCAGTTTTTAAAATTCCATACAATCAATAACCTTTGTGCATTTTATGTTTTCACAACTTGTACCTGAAGGTAAGTGTTGCTGGTAATGACAGTGGATTTTTGTTTGTCTTGAGTGATGGCAACTTTCTTTCTTTTTTCCTTTTTTTGCAGTGCTGGGAATGGAACCCATGGTCTCACACATTTTAGGACAAATGCTTTACCACTGAGTGACATTCCCAGCCCAATAACAGCTTCCATTGGCATCTTCTATGTTAATCTTTCCCATCCTGAATCTCAGATATTAAAAGCCCAACTAAAATTTGGATTCTTAAGTGGACTCGAAAGAGTTTTTAGACTGAATATTCAGTCTTTTCTAATCCTGTTTGTATAATTTTTTAAACCTTTTTTTGTAGATATGTGAAAGAGGCCAAAGAAGCAACTAAAAATGGAGATCTGGAAGAAGCATTTAAGCTTTTCAATTTGGCAAAGGACATTTTTCCCAGTAAAAAGCTGATGAGCAGAATCCAAAAGCTACAGGAAGCCATGGAGGAGTTAGCAGAACAAGATGATGATGAATTTACAGATGTGTGCAACTCTGGCCTGCTGCTTTATCGAGAGTTGTACAACCAACTCTTTGAGCACCAAAAGGAAGGCATAGCTTTTCTCTATAGCCTATACAGAGAAAAAAGAAAAGGGGGTATCTTGGCAGATGATATGGGATTGGGGAAGACTGTTCAAATTATTGCTTTCCTTTCTGGTATGTTTGATGCTTCACTTGTGAATCATGTGCTATTGATCATGCCAACTAATATCATTAGCACATGGGTAAAAGAATTCGCCAAGTGGGCTCCAGGAATGAGAGTCAAAACTTTTCATGGCCCTAGCAAGGATGTACGCACTAGAAGCCTCAATAGGATTCAGCAAAGGAATGGTGTCATAATCACTACATACCAAATGTTAATCAATAATTGGCAGCAGCTTTCAAGCTTTAATGGCCAAAATTTTGTGTGGGATTATGTCATCCTTGATGAAGCACATAAAATAAAAAGCTCATCTACTAAGTCAGCAATATGTGCTCGTGCTGTCCCTGCACGTAATCGCATCCTCCTCACAGGAACTCCAATCCAGAATAATTTACAAGAACTATGGTCTCTATTTGATTTTGCTTGCCAAGGGTCCCTGCTAGGAACATTAAAAACATTTAAAATGGAGTATGAAAATCCTATTATTAGAGCAAGAGAGAAGGATGCTACCCCAGGAGAGAAAGCCTTGGGATTTAAAATATCTGAAAGCTTAATGGAAATTATAAAACCTTATTTTCTCAGGAGGACTAAAGAAGAAGTACAGAAAAAAAAGTCATGCAACTCAGAAGTCAGACTTATTGAGAAGAATCCAGGTGTTGATGCCGTCTGTGAAATGCCTTCCCTTTCCAGGAAAAATGATTTAATCATCTGGATACGTCTTGTACCTTTACAAGAAGAAATATACAGGAAATTTGTGTCTCTAGATCACATCAAGGAGTTGTTGACGGAGACCCGTTCACCTCTGGCTGAGCTAGGTGTCCTGAAAAAGTTGTGTGATCATCCTAGGCTTCTGTCTGCACGGGCTCGTTGTTTGCTCAATCTAGGGAATGGCAAATTTTCTGCTCAAGATGGCAGTGAGGAAGAGGATTCCTCAGATATGGACAACATTGATCATGTAACTGATGATACATTGAGGCAAGAATCTGGAAAAATGATATTCTTAATGGACCTTCTGAAGAGACTGCGAGATGAAGGACATCAAACTCTGGTATTTTCCCAATTGAGAAAAATTTTAAACATCATTGAACGCCTCTTAAAGAATATGCACATTAAGACATTGCGTATCGATGGCACCATTACTCATCTTTTGGAAAGAGAAAAAAGAATTAACCTGTTCCAGCAAAATAAAGATTACTCTGTTTTTCTGCTTACCACTCAAGTAGGTGGTGTTGGCTTAACATTAACTGCAGCAACTAGAGTGATCATTTTTGACCCAAGCTGGAACCCTGCAACTGATGCTCAAGCTGTGGATAGAGTTTACCGAATTGGACAAAAAGAAAATGTTGTGGTTTATAGGCTAATCACTTGTGGGACTGTAGAGGAAAAAATATACAGACGACAGGTTTTCAAGGACTCATTAATCAGACAAACAACTGGTGATAAGAAGAACCCATTCCGCTATTTCAGTAAACAAGAATTAAGAGAGCTCTTTACAATTGAGGATTTTCAGAACTCTGCAACCCAGTTGCAGCTTCAGTCTCTGCATGCTGCTCAGAGGAGATCTGATAAGAAACTAGATGAACATATTACCTACCTGCACTCTCTGGGGATAGCTGGAATCTCAGACCATGATTTGATGTACACATGTGATATGTCTGCTAAAGAGGAGGTCAGTGTGATAGAAGAATCTCAGTATATTCAACAAAGAGTTCAGAAAGCTCAATTCCTTGTTGAATTTGAGTCTCAAAATAGGATGGAACAACAAACTGGAAATGAGGGGGCCTGGGAAAAAGTACCCGTGTTTCCTTCTCAAACAAAGAAGAAATGCCCTGAATTGAACAAACCACAGCCTCCGCCTTCTCCTCTTCTAACTATTCATCCTACCCAAGAAGAAGATATCAGTTTTCAAATGGCAAATATAAACATTAATGAACAGTCCAAAGAGAGTGACACACAAGATCTTTCCAGTGTACAGATAAACGTTACCATGCTGCAAGATAGTAAGTACCCACATGAAAATACACTGGAGGCTGACTTTGTAGCTACATTACCCAAAGAGATGGGAAGTGTTGAAGGAACTTGTACTGACTTATTATTGGGAACAGCAAAAAACATTGAAACAGAAAATGAGGCTCTGCAAAAAGAGGCATCACAAGAGAGGCCTGAGCAAGAGGCACTGCAAGAGAGCCCCCGGGGAAGTTTTAATTATTTACTTAGCCAACCCATGAAAGCTGATCTTGGGCCAAATCTAGATCTACAGGATGATGAGATTTTACAAGACTCTAATCCCTGGCCCATAACAAGTGAAAATAAAAATACAGAATCGGATGCATCTGTTATTGCACTATCTGATGACTCATTGGCATCCAATAGTGCAGTGCAGGATACTCAAGTAAATGAGGCCAACTCAGAAAGGGAAATTTTAGCATCTTCACAATATATGTGTGATTTCAATCTTTTTCTGGAAGACTCTACAGACAATAGACAAAATCTCTCTAGCCAGTCTTTAGAGCATGCTGAGAATGAAAATAGCTTGTGTGGCTCTGTAGGTAATTCTACAGCAGAGTCTGTGCATAGCAACACACATCCCAGTTTGGATCTTTCTGATAAGAAAGATGATGAATCAGTAGTAGTAGTTAATGTCAAATCCAGAAGCAAATCTAGAAGGATTGTTTCAGATGATGAGGATGATTTTTTTAAAGGTACTTCAAACATAAGTCCAATCAACACATCTCCCTTTCAGTTCTCATCTGTGAAACAGTTTAATGCTTCAACTCCTAAAAATGACACCAGTCTATCTAGAGGATTCTTTTCACCTAAAATATCCGATGGTATAAATAAGTCTATAAACTCAAGAAAATCCCTGGCTTCTAGGAGGTCTCTGATTAATGTGGTTTTAGACCACGTGGAGGATATGGAGGAAAGATTTGACAACAGCAGTGAAACAGAGGGTGCTGAAGATGATTGGGAAGAAGAAAAAAGCAGTGATGAAGACTCAGAACATACAGAAGAGGGTCCTTCTAGAGAAATGATGTCTTCAGAAAATAAGTTCAGTGGGCTAACTGTGTCTAAACCACTAGATTCTAGCCTACAGACCTCTGCTGATGTCCCTGAGCCTTTGCCAGGTGCAGTGTTGATTGATTCGCCCCAGGACAAGTCAGTGGAGGCTGCAGATGACTACGAGACTCTTGTAACTCGTGGAAAAGAACTGAAAGAATGTGGAAAAATACAGGAGGCCCTCAACTGCTTTGTTAAAGCACTTGACATAAAGAGTGCAGATCCTGAAGTCATGATGATGACTTTGGGTTTGTATAAGCAACTTAATAGCAATTGAGAGTTCCATAATCTATTTGTTGTATTTTAAAATGAAAGAGAATATGAGATAATTTTTAAAGTTCCATCATTGGGTTCTTTGGGAGCATGAAGCATTTATGTTAAGAAAAATCTCAAAAAGCAAATTTTATTTCTACTCCCTGGTTCTTACCTTGCCCCTCATATATAAATTCTGTTTTCTGAGCATGAGGTTAATATTTCCACACTTGAGTATTGTTTTATTTTAGGCATAATCTATTAATTTTACTGTTTGTGTTGTTTACTTTATTAAAACTTTCTAGAGAAGTTTTTATAAAACTATTCTGGCTACTTTATTCTGAAAGGGATCACCTTTGTTCAGATAAGAAAATTAAAATGATTTTTCTCAAGTGTTTTCCACTCACTTTCTTTCACTGAGATGATACTGGCAAATGGATATGGGTACTCCTTAGTTTAGCAGGAGCTTGTCATTGGCATTCCAACTCTGAGCCGTCCCTATTAATATGTTGTTGTTTTCAACTTAACACAGCAGAAGGTACCTGTGCTGGCATACTTCCTTACTAGTTGCCTGTCCTGGAGTCACTTTGCTGACTATTTAGTGGTTCTTCACTCACCATCAATTGTATTCTCCTTTTCTCAAAGGAGAACCAAATACCTGCATGTCTGTCTTGATGTGTGCCATCACAGTCTCTCTTTGGGTTGTAGACTGGAAAGAAGTTCATCTCCCTCTGAGAAACAAAAAGTGCAACATAGCATAGCACTCTACACTGTCACCAGAGAAGGTGGAACTATCATTTATCAAGTACCTACTGAGTATTGGGCACTCTACACGGGCTTCTTATTTAATCCTTACCAAAATCCTCTGAGGTAGAGGGGGTGTAGTACTTAACATTTTTCAGTTGAGACTTTCTTGAGGCTCAATGGGGCTGTGACCTGTCCACGGTGATACAGTAAGACATAAAATGGATTTTTAACTGGTATTACCAAATGAAAAGTCACTGAGCAGTTTTTGCTCCAGATGCTTCTTACACTACATGTGGGGGGGTCTCCACACCAAGCCATTTTCCAGTTCTCTGCAGACACTAACCAGGGTCCAACAATTCAATTCTAACTCTCCAGAGTTTGCATCAGACTCTGCAGGTTGTAGGACTCAGTCCCACAGGGACTGCCTTAGCTTCACATGGCAGTTGCCAAGTATTCAGTCTTCAGGTTACCCACACTTCTGTCCAACTTGGCTACAAATCAGGGGTTTCTCTGACTCTCCCCCAGTTCAATAATTTGGTAGAACAGCTCACAGAACTCAGGAAAATAGTCTATTTACTATCACCAGTTTATTTTTTTAAATATTTTTTTAGTTGTGTATGGACTCAACACCTTTATTTGTTTTTATGTGGTGCTAGGATCAAACCCAGTGCCTCACACTTGTGAGTCAAGTGCTGTACCACTGAGCCACAACTCCAGCCCCTACTATCACCAGTTTATTATAGAGAATATAACTCTATAATGTAAGAGATGCTTTTGTAGTGAGGTATAGGGGAATGTGCATAGAGCTTCCATGCCCCCTGGACACACTATCCTCCTAATGCTTAGATGTGTTAACTAGAAGCTCTGAACTCCATCATTTAAGGGTTTTATTTTTTTCAGTACTAGGGATTGAACCCAGGGCCTAGTACATGCTAGGCAAGTACTGTACAGAGCTACATCCCCATACCTTTTTAATTTGAGACAGGAGGCCCTGTGTTGCTGAGGCTGCCCTTTAACTTGTATCCCTCCTACCTTAACCTCCCCAGTCAATGGGAATACAGGTGTCCACTACCACCCTAGTCCTGGAAGTTTCCTAAGACGGCATAATTAGTCACTGATGATTGACTTAATTTTCACCCTTTTCCCTCTGCAGTGGTTGGGGTTAGGCTGAAAGTCCCAATCATCTAATCAAACCTTGGTCTTCTGGCTACTATCCCCTATTTCTGAAGCTATTTAGGGGTCTCCATCCACTTAGTCATCTCTATATCAGCATATAAAAGACATCACAATAGAGATTCTAAGGGGTTTAGAAGCTATATCCCAAGAATCCAAAGACTTTTGTTTTTGAGATAAGCCTCATTACATTGTCCAGGTTGGCCTTAAACTCCTGGGCTCAAATGATCCTCCTCCCTCAGCCTCCCAAGTAGCTGGGACTATACCACCATGCCTAGCTAAAATTATTTTCTATATCACACAAACATATAATTACTTGTAAACTATGTGTATAAACAATATTACTGATATGTTTGAAAGATAAGCTGAATTTTAAATTTATTTTTTTGCATTACTGGGGACTGAACCCAGGGGTACTCACCCACTGAACCATGTCCCCAGCCCTTTTCATTTTGAGACATTTTGAGACAGGGTCTTGCTAAGTTGCCCAGGCTGACCTTGAACTTATGATCTTCCTACCTCAGCTTCCCTAGTCACTGGGATTACAGGTGTGCACTACCAGGCCCAGCGTGAGTTTTAAATTTAAACAGGTAATTTATTGATATAAAATTTTTATTAAAAGCAATTACTACTAATATATTAGTAATGTGATTGAATGTAATTTTTGAAAATATATATGTATATATATTTTGTATTGGGGATTGAATGGAGGGATATTTCACCACTCAGCTGTATTCCGAGCACTTTTTAAAATTTTTTTTTAGTTGTTGATGGACATTTTATTTATTTATATGTAGTGCTAAGAATCAAATTCAGTGCCTCACACATGCTAGGTAAGTGCTCCATCACTGAGCCACAACCCCAGCATTTTTTTTTTTTGAGATAGGGTCTCACCAAGTTGTTTAGGTCCTTGCTAAATTGCTGAGGTTGGACTTGAGCTTGTGATACTCTTGCCTCAGCCTACTGATTTGCTGGGATTATAGGTTTGTGCCACCATTTCTGGCTAATTTTGAAAATATTGACTTAACATTTTGTGAGTCAGCAATTCACAGGCTGCATCTAAGTCCAGATCACTGTTTCCCTGTGCATTTTCCCACCATGATCCAGGTGAAGATCTGCACCTTGCATCTTTTTCAATCCATTCATCAAGCATACAAATGTGGAAATTCAGCTCATAAATTCCTCTTTCCTGATGTACAAAACAAATCACCCAGGAGTTTTTACATTCCCTGAAGTAACTGAAGGAGCCTATATATCCATTTGATCTGAACAATAAGGCTTAAATTTTAGGTGTATTTCTCACTGAAAATGCAAAAAAAAAAAAATTTTGGTACTGTTAGAGATGAACCCATGGTCTTGTGTATGGCTAGGCAAACACGTCCAGCCCATCAAAATGCTCTATTTGTGTACTATGACAATTTTTGTTTGGGGAAAAATACACATGGTAAAATATTCAAAATATCCATGACAGGGATTTTTACCCCAGGAGTTCATGGATAGAATTTAGGTGTCTGAATTTGGGGAAAAAAGATATCTTTCCTCCACTACTATGTATCTGGAATTTAACATTTCCTTTTTTTTTTTTAATGAATGTAGGCAACAAGTATTAGTAATACTTGTGACTTCATCACTAATAGAAATCAAATTGATTTCATAATTATTGCAGATGTGTCAAATAAATATTGATATTTGTTAAGTTGAGATTGCAAGTCGATCTTAAAGCAGGAGACGGAAACTTTATTCACTAGCCGGTAGTCAAGATCCACCAGCCTACCCAAAGGGATAGGCTGCAACTCTAACCCTTTGACCCCCTCCTGGGGATTGAGTACACCTTTTATAGTCCAAAACCATATTAATCATAATAGCTGTTGCTGTGATTCAAAACCATAAACAAACGTCATGAGATCTAAAATCATAAGCAGAAGAGGGGAGTGGGTCAAAATGTCCCTAGTTGAGTACAAGTTAAAGAATGGTTACTAACATCTAGACAATCAATGTCTGACAGGGTATATTGTCCAAAAAATGGGAACCAAAGAGAGAACAATTTTACAATGTATGAGAATTGCCATTTTGTATTGCCAAACATGCTATGCTAAGCAACTATTGATGGGTACAGAGGCAGGACTTTCCCATGGGAGAAGCAGTTTTTACATGAAGTGGAGTCTCAGGGTAAGATGGAGTCTGTTTGGTCATTGCCCATATAGCCTGGCCCATAACATATTTATCACTATAAAATCACTGGTTGGAGCTGGGGATGTTACTCAGTCAGAGTGTGTAGTATGTGTTTAGCATGTGCAGAGGCTCTGAATTTTATCTCTATCACCAAAACAACAACAAAGAAACACAGTAGTTTTTAGACTTATCATTAGAAATTACCTAATAAAAAGGCATAAATACACATATTACAAATTTTATTATTAGTAGTAGTATTGGGTATTGAACCAACAGTTGCTTTATCATTGGGATACATTCCCCAATCCTTTTATTTTTTATTTTGTGATAAGGTACTGCTAAATTGCTGAAGCTGGCCTACAACTTGTCAATCTTCCTGTCTCAGTCTCCTGAGTTGTTGGGATTACAGGTGTCTGTCAGCACAACTAGGCATGTATTATAATTTAAAAATTTTCAATTACTGTATTTCATTGTAGTTGGTATCCTTTTAAATAAATACATAGTCCTATGTATTTATTTGTTTTGTGATACTGGGGATTGAACCCAGGTTGTGTTCTACCACGGAGCTACATCCCAGCCCTTTTATCTATTTATTTTACAGTACTGAAGACTGACCCCACAGGCATTCTACCACTGAGTTGCATTCTCAGCCTTTTTATTTTGAAACAGGGTCTCCTTAAGTTGCCCAGGCTGGCCTAAAACTTGGGATCCTTCTGCCTCAGCCTCCTAAGTAGCTGGGCTTTCAGGGGTGCACCACCATGCCCAGTCTATTTATTTTACTTTATGCATTTGATCAATATTCTGAGAAAGGATCCATAAACATGGGCAAACTGCCAAATGGCTCTATGGCACCAAAATTTTAAAACCCTTGATCTAAGGCTATGAAGGAAAAACCCTCTTACCCTCTCCTCTCAACTCCCAGTTGAGGATTGCCACTTCCAGAGACAGTCTGTGTATAATCAAAAGCAGTATGTGTGTGTGCCTGTGTATTTTTACATCTATAACCTTTTTTGTACTGCTAGGAATGAAACCCAGCACACACTCTACAAATGAACTACATCCTTAGCCTTTTCAAATTTTAGGACAGGTTCTTGCTAATTTGCCCTGGCTGGCCTTGCCTGTGTTCCTCCTGTCTCAGCCTCCTAAGCAACTGGAATTATAGGTGTGAGCCACCATGCCTGGCTTTTTTTTTTTTTTTTTTGCAGTGCTGATGATCAAACCTACAGCCTCAACATGCTAGACAAGCACTTTACCACTGAGATACAACCCCGTTTAATTTTTTTTTTTTTTTGCATACTAGGGATTAAATTCAGGAGTGTTCTATCATGGAGCAACACCCCCAGTCCTTTTTATTTTGAGGGAGGGTTTTGACAAGTTGCCAGGGCTGACCTCCAAGTGTAATTCTCCTGCCTCAACCTCTCAAGTAGCTGGAATTATAGGCATGTACCATCATACTTGGCTTTACGTTGTTTTTAAGATAGTTTCTTTTATTTGAAACTACATATTCAAGTAGTTTCTTTGCCTACTATTTGAACATCTCTATATCATATTGGTATACCTACTCAGTGGGGAAAATCTCATGTAGGCATAAAGCTGATGGGTTGCTCAGAAACTTTTAAAATGGGAAACTTTGGTCTCTAGGTTAAATTGCCATTATATATAAGTTGGGATAATGTAAGGATAACATCAGATGTAAGCAAGGAAGAGAATGCAGTGTGTTAAAAGAAATGCTATTGATGCTGGACATGGTGATACATGCCTCTAATCCCAGTAATTTGGGAAATTAAAGCAGGAGGATTACAAGTTCAAAGCCAGCCTCAGCAACTTAGTGACACAGTCTCAAAATAAAATAAAAAATAAAATGGGCTTGGGATGCAGTTCAGAGGTTCAGTGCCCCTGAGTTCAAACAGTCCCAATAGTGCCAAAAAAAAAAATTATCGCTCTTGGTGCGGAGATGTAGCTCAGTGACTGAGTATGTGTACAACCCTGGAAATCTAATCCCCAGTACTGCAAAAAGAAAGAAGAAAGAACTGCTGTTAAGAATCACATAGTTGTAAAAATAAATAAATAAAAAGAATCACATTATAGCTGGGCATGGTGTCCCATGCCTATAATTCCAGTTACTGGAGAGGTTGAGGCAGGAGGATGACAAGTTCAAGGATAGCCTCAGCCAACTTAGAACCTATCTCAAAAAAAGAAAAAGGCTGGGGATGTGGCTCAATGGTAGAACACTTGAGTTCAATGCCCAGTACTGAAACAAAACAAAGCAAAACAAAAAAGAATCATTTGGTTGTCTGGACAAAGTTTTATTTTTGAAGTAGTATTTTATTATTATTTTTTTACTTTTTTGTATGACACAAATATGGCATTTTATTTATTTAAGGTGGGGAGGTTCTGGAGATTTAGCTCAGAGGCACTTTACCTCTGAGCTACATCCCCAACCCCCCCTTTTTTTTTTTTAATTTTGACACAGGGTCTCACTAGTTGGTTAGGGCCTCCCTAAGTTGCTAAGGATGTTTTTGAACTTGCTAAGGATGTCTTTGAACTTATGATCCTCTGGTTTCAACCTCCCAAGCCACTGGGATTACAGGCATGCACACCATGCCCAGCTCAAATATGGCATTTTAAAATTTAAAACTATATATATATATACAGAATTTTGGTCCCAGAAAGGAGAGTCAGAATGTAATCCATACACTGAGGTTGAGGGAATGCTGTTTTCATGCTGATATTTGTCCCATTAGCTAGCATTTGGTGAATGGCTTAGTCTAGTAAAAATAACCACTGGAAGAACTAAGTGCCTTTTTCCCACAAATAGATGTTTATTTAAAAAGAAAGAAGGTTTGGGGAAGATTATGTTCCACAGGCTAGGCAATTTAGCTTCTTCACCAATAGGTGAAAGCTAAGAGACAGTGGACAACATTCAAAGTCAAACTAGCATTGTGTATGTTGCTAACTAAATACAATAGAAAAAAATTAAAAGAGTTAATGTTGAATGGCTAAATGTGCCATGTACTGACAATGGAGTTAATAATACCTGTCCTGGTAGATCAGTTCACTAAATTGTAAAGGAGTTTTGTCCAGGAACTTCCTGCATGATCCTCATTTACGAATTCATCCGTTCAATACCCAATATTTTCAGTTGCATGAATAGTGTGACCTGAGATTTGACTCCCGTGAAGATGATTTCTGAATAAATTTACAGGATACACTGAGAGGTAAAGTCATTCTGGGAGGAATGTAAATACAGGTTAAAAGTATTACACTTGACTTACCTTCTGAGAATTACTGACTGAATACTGAGTGTAGTATACACTATATACCCATCCTATTTTGTATCTACAAACCCATACCGACATTTCATAAAATACAAGGATTATTAATTACCTTTAAAGAAATAAAATGCATAAGACTTACTCTGTTTTTCATATGATTTTATTTTCTCCCTTCAACCATAATAATATGATATCCAAATTTTGTCTTAACTGGTGGGTCTGTAAACACAGGTTTATCCATCCCACTTACAGGCAAGGCAAATGCTGCTTCTTGAAATGGTCCAACCATTGACCCTCTTGTCATCCAGCCCAAGTCACCCTGAAAAATCCAAAAGATATATGATACCAAATGGCCCTGAAAAGGAAACAGTTCTACAGTAGCTTGAAAGAACTTTTCAACATGAACCATAAGGTTACTAGGTTTTTAAAAATTATTTGTTCTTGGGGCTAGGGTTGTGGCTCACTTAGCATGGGCAAGGCCCTGGTTCGATCCTCAGCACCACATAAAAATAAATAAATTAATTAAAAGATATCGTATCCAACTACAACTAAAAAATAAATATTTTAAAAAATTATTTGTTCTTTTTAGTTATACATGACAGTAGAAAGTATTTTGATACATCATACATATATGGAATACAACTTCCCATGATGTGGAGTTACACTTGTGTATTCATACATGAACATAGGAAAGTTATATCTAATTCATTCTACTTTCTTTCCAGTTCCCATCTCCCCCTACTACGTTTATTCATCTGGGTTATGTAGGAGTTATTTAAATGAGAACAAATAAGTAGAAGTCTAAATCTAGACTGAACACACAAGCACTCATAATATTGCTGGGCTCTGAAGTTAGCTGTGCAAGTTTGGTCATGCCAGGGTTAGACATAGGAAACTCTTTTTCAACTGTTCACAAGTTGGACATTTGGACCTCTTTTTTTTTTTCCAGTAGTACTGGGGATCAAACCCAGGGCCTCTGTGCATGCTAAGTACATGCTGTAGCTAAGCTACAACCACAGGCCCAGAAATTGGACATTTTTGTGCTTAAGATCTTTAAACCAAGATCTGAATAAAATTAATAGAAGAAATTAAGAAATAATCCTTGCTTTTGTGTTTGCTCTGTGGAGGACAGAAAATTTTAAATAAAAGCAACATACCCCTTGCCTGGCTTTATCTTCACTATATTGTGTGGCTACTTCATTGAATCTCATTCCAGACTTTAACTTTTCCATGGCTTCCATGATTTTGCTGTGTTTTTCACATAGAATGTGTCTAACCTACAAAGAAAAAGCATGTACTTGTAATACTTGGACACCCAAATGATTCCTCTCAGTACAGCAGTTACATTCGGATTAATCTCACCAGTTAAAAATAGTTTGTGGAAAATGAAAATCCTGCAAGTCTGCCCAGTTGGATGACTGCCACAAATTTATTATCAAGACAGTATCTCAAAACCCTGAAAGAGATGGAAAATGGGCACTCTGGCTATGGGAACCTCCCCTCTTTCAACATGTATCTTAGTGGTAACAAAAAGAAGAAACATGATTGACAGCATGTTAGCATCCAATCTCAGCTCTGCTGTATGACCTTGGGCATGTCTTTAAACCTCCAAATGTTTCCCCATTTGTGCACTGAGATAATAACAAGACCTATGTGTTCTCCCGGGGTTGTGAAGATTGAGATAATGTAGCTAAAATTCAATAAATGCGATTATTTCATCGGAGTAGGCATGCTATAAAAAAGCTCACCAAGAAATATTTTCTACCCAAAGGGACCTAAAGTGTAACAGTCACCCCACAATTCAACACTCTGAAAAAGTATCACATATTGAATATTAAGAATACTAAAGCAGGGGCTGGGGTTGTGGCTCAGCATTAGAGCACATGCCTAGGTTCGATTCTTAGCACCACATAAAAATAAATAAATAAATAAATAAATAAATAAATAAATAAATAAATAAATAAATAAGGGTATGTGTCCAACTACAACTAAAAATATTTTTAAAAAGAATACTAAAGCAGGGGGCTGGAGTTGTAGCTCAGTGGTAGAGCACTTGCCTAGCATGTGTGAGGCACTGGGTTCAATCCTCAGCACCACATAAAAATAAATAAAGGCATTGTATCTGTGTACAATTTAAAAAAATAGATGCATAAAAGGAATACTAAAGCAGGACATGGTGGTGAGGATCACAAGTTCAAGGCAAGCCTAAGCAATGTACCAAGCCCCTGTCTCAAAATAAATAGGGCTGTGGATGTAGCTCAGTGGTAGGGAACCCCTGGGTTCAAGCCCCAATACTCCACCCCTAGCACACACAAAGAATACTCAACACAGGGTTGGGGATGTAGCTCAGTGGTATAGTGCTTGTCTAGTATGCATGAGGCTCTGGATTCAATCCATAGTAGCAAAAAATAAACCTCAATAGTATAGAAACATTCATTTTGACCTGTGTTTACATAAAACAATGTTTTTTTTTTAAAAAACTATATTTCGGGCTGGGGATGTGGCTCAAGCGGTAGCGCGCTCGCCTGGCATGCGTGCGGCCCGGGTTCGATCCTCATTAGCACCACATACAAAAAAAAAAAAAAAGATGTTGTATCCGCCGATAACTAAAAAATAAATATTAAAAAAATTAAAAAAAAAAAAAAAACAAAAAAATAAAAATAAAAAACTATATTTCTAAAATGATTTTGTCATCATATCTGTTTTGGAGAATTTCCTATTTTTCAAACAATCAGTTTTTTGTTTCAGTGGGTATGGTGGCTCATGCCTATAATCCCAGTGACTCAGGAGACTGAGGCAGGATCGTTGTAACTTTGAGGCCAGCCCCTTCTGTTTGATGAGACCCCATCTCAAAAAATCAAACAAAAGGGATGGGGATATAGCTCAGTGGTACAGCACCTCTGGGTTCAATCCCCAGTACCACAAAAAAACCAACCCCCCAATAAAACACCAACCAACCAACAAACAAAAAACACCCCAACAACCCCCAAACCCATAATCATTTGTTTCACATTGGAGGTGATAAACTGGGGTACAGTGAAAGGACTCTCCCTGTTAATTTAGACAAGCAAGCTAAGTATCTTTAGGGTTAACTACGGAAATCAGGGAGATGGAGAGTATCCTCATCCCACTGGAGTAACTTTCTGACTAGTGGAGTTGAATGCACCAAAGGAAAGAAAAGCAGGGCTCGGAAAGCCAAATGTCTACAGAACACGTTCAGCACTATCCAAGGCAGACAGGGTAAACAATCTGGAGAAATAGCCAGAGTTAGCCTGATGGGAAACAAGAATGGTTCATAAGACCTCAAACTGACCTGGCCACAACAGCATCTAAGACTGCACCTCTCTTTTTACTTCCACAGTTATGAAGCAGCCTTTTGACTTACCTAATTTTAGTAGTGTACACAGCACTCATGATCACAGAAAGGGGACACTGCCCACCATTTTATAAATGAACAAATATTATGGTTTGGACAGTGTGACAGAGTGAGTTTGTAGGACCCATGGTGTTTTGTAAGTGTGATGACCAGCTGGCAATTCTATAACTGTGTCTTGGAAGAGAACCAAGCCCCAAAGTTCAGGAGCGATGAGCATGGAAGAGGTGGCTGAAGTTGTGGGTGTTGGTGAGATTACTTATGGAGGCTTTGCAGGATGAGAAGAGAAGGAAATAAAGCTGAAGACAACCTTGGAGAATATCAATGTCTGTGCAAACAAGAAAGCACAAAAAGCCTAACAAAAAGGAAAGGCAAAGTAGGTAGGAGAGAAAAGTGTGTTAGAAACCAAGTAAGAAAAAAAGAAGAGGTGAGGGTATAGCTCAGTGGTAGTACTTGCCCAGCATACCTAAGGCCATAGGTTCCATCCCTAGCATTGCAAAACAGACAGACAAAAACAACATAGGAAAAAGTTTCAAAGAGGAAATTATCAACAGGGTTAATTAAGTGCTATAGATATTACGAAAGAAATATAATAAATTTAGCAATGGATGGGACTGGGCATGTAGCTCAGTGGCAGAGTACTTGCCTAGTATGCATGGAGCCCTGGGTTTGAATTCTAGCAACCCACACAAACACCAATGACTGATCAATGTCCTTAGCAAAAGGAGTTTCAGAGGTGCAGAAGCCCAGACACAGCAGGTTGACCAAGGAGGCAATATGAAGTGGGAAGGTAAACCATCATGTTGGGCATTTTCAACTAATTTAGTTCACAAAGAAGAAAGGGCTCTAGTTAGAGAAAAAAAAAAGCTTGAATATGTATACATTTTCAAGATTCCTGAGCATATTTTCAGAATTAAGGGAAGGATCCAGTAAAGAGTGAAAGGGTGGAGACAGAACAAAGACAGGAGGGTACAAATAAATGAAGGCGCAAGGCCTGGTCTTCAAAACACTGTTTGAAATAATAGCTTTAGCCGGGTGCTGTGGCACATGCCTGTAACCCCAGTGGCTTGGAAGACTGAGGCAGGAGGATTGCAAGTCCAAAGCCAGCCTGAACAACTTAGCAAGACCCTGTCTCAATAAAATAAAATAAAATAAAATAAAATGAACTGGGGATATGGTTTAGTGGTTAAGTGCTCCTGGGTTCAATCCCTAGTGTGAAGAAAAGAAAGAAAAAAAGAAAAATTAGCTTTAAAGGAAAAAGGGTGAGGAGAGAGAAGGGCAATTTGGGCAAAGATAACTTTGTTGATGAGGGCTGAAAGCCAAGGAGTTCCTGAATCCTTGTGAAAATATTAAAATATCATTAAGTCACTGATATATTATTAAATTTAACAAATCAATAATTTAATTAAATTAAACTAATTACCAAATAATTATTGTGAAAATAATAAAACTACTTAAAAGTTATCAGGTACTTAATGTTTGCTAGACACCCGTGCTAAGTGCTTTACTTAAATTATCTCATTAAATCCTCACACCAACCTATGAGAGTAGACCAGTATTTCTTAACTCTGGTAGCATATTCAAATCACCTCAAGAGCATCTAAGAAAAATATCAAGGTCTAGGCCCCACTCCAGAGATTCTGATGTAGTCTGTCTGGAGTGAGCCTCTAGGCTCTTCAGGTGAATTGGATGCAAACCCAGGGTTGGGAACCACTGGACGAAGTTATCTGCTGAGTGGCTGGAGCAGAGTGGTAGGCAGCTTGCGGAGAGTAGTAAAAGACTGGTGAGTAGCAAGGCCTAGGGCCTAGCTAAGATTAGATGACTGGTACTAGTGGCCCCAATCCTCAATATCCTATGGGACTCTCCAGTAGGGCCCAGCAATTCTGGGTTTAAGTACAAAGAAAGTAGATCATTGGATTAATCCTCAGCTGGGTAATTTGGAGGTGGATGTAGTGAGGATGACCAAAAGGAAAAATGTCAGGGCTCCTTAATCCATGGATCAAGCCCTTAGATTCAATTTGCAGTTCATAGGAAATAGGACAGGAGAAGAAATATGAAACCTGAGAGAAAGTGGGGAGAGCAGAGCGGGCTTGAGGGCCTGGAATCTGGGAGGAGAACAAAACAGGAAGGGAAGGAAGGAAGCTGTGGTCAGCAGGTGGGTCTCAGAATCTATAGAGCTTGTATACAAGGGTAGGGTGTGGACACAAGGGTGGAAACTGAAATAATCAGAGGATATGGAAGGAGCAGAGACCCTAAAAGCTAGAGTGTCCCAGGGTCTCTTCCCTGCTGAGGCCTTTGAAAACATTGGAAACAATTCAGCTGTCCTTCAACAGGTTAGTGGTTAAACATACTATGGCACTTATACATCATGGAATAACTATTGAAACACACAACAGTTTGAATGAAATCTCTAGACAACTATGCTAAGTGAAAAAAAAACAATCTCATAAAGTTACATTTAATATTCTTGAAAATTATCAAATCACACAAATGGAAAGCAAATTAGTTGTTTCCAGGAGTTAAGAAGTGGGTAGAGGAAGGGGCAGGAAGGAAATGGATGTAGTTATCAATGTGCAACAGGAGAGGTTCTTGGGGTGATGATAACGTTCTATTCTTTGAATGTATCAATGTCAATGTCCTGGGTGTACTACTGTACTCTAGTTTTTTGTAAGATGTACTATTGGGGAAAAGAGGGTGTAAGGTAAGATATTATTTCTCACAAGTGCATGTGAATCTACAATTATCTTAAAATAAAAAACTTAACCCAAATCTACTTTACTACCAAATTACATATCACTCCTTTCCATATACCTTGTGTATAGCCATTCTGGAATTAATTTTTCTATAGAGGGCATGGTGTTTCTTTAAATCCACCAGCAATACCTCTTTGGTATCTCTTTGGTTAGGTGGTCATAAAAGTTGCTATTTGAAGCAACTTCCAAATTGCATATAGCCAAAATTAGCCTAGAATATTCTTTATGAAGATGTCATACTGGAGACTAACAGTTAACTCTCATTAGCCCAACTCCTGAGTTGTAAAAGTGACCAATTCTTCAGCTGAACAGCATATGAAGCACCTAGGTTGTATTTAGGGTCCATGTTTTAGGAAAAATTTCTTTGAACACCAGGATCCCCACTTTTCATGGTCGGATGGTCATACAGGAATGGAGGACAACTGCAGAAAAGCAATCATCTATCTCCTCATTGAATAAATGAATCAAATTACAGACTCCCAAATCCTAACTTGGGAACTGCCTTGTTACATAGCACACGGTAGTATAGTTCTGTTTCCAGATTAAATTTTCTCATGTAGATGCTCCTCCGGGACTAGGTTAAGTACTTCATGTAATATTTGCTGAGTGTCTCCTACTACCATATTTATGGTCAAGGCCCTGGCTTATAGCTCCCTAGTGTGTGTGGGGGGGAGCTTTCTAATGAGACCTACACCCTTACTTGTTTATTTAGCTGAGGTGGCTTTTAGCTTTTATCTGAGCTCTCAGTTTCATAAAATATTTCTTTTCCCAAATGAAATTCCCAGAGAATTATGCTGAGTGAAAATCCCAAAAGGTTACATACTATGTGATCTTCATAAGGAATGTTCATCTTCAGGTACTTAATTTGATGTTCACCTGAAGAAGTGGTCACTTTTATGACCCAGCAATTGGGCTAATGAGAGCCGATATGTTTCCAGTATGACATTCTTCATAAAGGATATTTTTTAGGCTAATTTTGGCTATATGCAATTTTCATCTTGAATGCTGACTTTTATAAGCACCTAACCCAAGAGACTCTCCACTGATGGCTTTAAAGAGGCATTCTGTCCTCTCTAGAAAAATTAAGTCCAGTGTGGCTATACATGAGGTATATGGAAAGGAGTGGTCATATAATTTGGTAGGAAAGTAGATTCAGGTTAAGATTTTTTAATTGGGTTTTTAAAGATAATTGTAGATTCACATGTAGTTGTGAGAAATAACATCTGTACCTTTTGCCCTCTTTCATTGAGAATATCTAACAATGTTTTAGGAATAATAGTAAAGTATGAAGGAGCCTGAGAGGTGGTACACACCTGCAATCCCAGTGACTCAGGAAGCGGACACAGAAGGATCATAAATGCTCACATGGGAGGATTACAAATTTGAAATCAGCCTGGGTAACTTAGCAAGATCCTATCTCTTAATAAAATTTTTAAAAAGGGCAGGTGATGCAGCTCAGTGGTAGAGCATTCTTCAGTTCAAATTCCAGTGCCACTATAAAATAAACAAATAAATAAAAAATAAAAGCAGTAAGAAATTCTAGATGTCTGAGAAAACATTTGAGAAAATATTTAAAAGGAATTTTTAAAAATATTTTTATAGTAGATGGACACATTTTTTTTTTTGTTTCTCTTTTTTTTAATATTTATTTTTTAGTTTGCGGTGGACACAACATCTTTGTTTGTATGTGGTGCTGAGGATCGAACCCGGGCCGCACGCATGCCAGGCGAGCGCGCTACCGCTTGAGCCACATCCCCAGCCCAGACACATTTTTTTTAATGTGTGCTGAGCATCGAACCGAGTGCCCCACATGTGCTAGGTAAGTGCTCTACCAATTGAGCCACAACCCCAGCCCCTAAAAGGAATTATTTTTTATAAGCAAGATTGATTCTTATTTTCCAGTTCTGCATCACCTTGGTTTTATGTCAGTGTTAGGTTAGCTTTTAAGAATGAGTTAAGCATCATGTGTGTGTGTGTGTGTGTGTGTGTGTGTGACTAATGCTGAACATGGAAAAAGGGAAGTAGTGAATCAACTCACCTTTACTGCATTGCCACCACCTTTGGGTCCCTGAGCCTTCTTGTCAGCATTGTCACTCCCAGAGGCTGCTCCCCCTTTAGAGAAGAGATGGCAGGTACTCTTTTAAACTGTACCTTGGTATTCACAGAAAGCTCCAGCACATAAGACAAGTTGATACTTCCATCATAGCATGAAACTACAAAAGGGAACTCTGCCAGAAACTTTACTATATCAAACTAAATGAAATCTGTGACTCACCTTTCTTAAAACAAAGGAAATTCATGCCCTTCGTAAACATTACATCAGAATGGATACATGAATGAATGTGCTAATGGATGAATGAAAGCTTCAGAGTCCTGGTCCAGATTTTCTGGACTCAATTTCCAATCCTGCCTTCTAAGGGCAAACCCCTAAACTCATAAGTACTGCAACTATAGATTGAGCACTCACAATTCCAATAAGTAAAATTTCCAAGAATATATTTGGCTAAATAATATATTCATGTTTAAATTCCTATAGTCTATTACACTGCCTATTGATGTCTCCCTATGAAAAATCATTGATATTTAGATTAATGACCACTGGCAGCACCTTATATTTTACTGTGAGGCTGATGTTCCCAATAACTATAGCTGGATTAAGTGTTCAGTTAATAAACATTTCCTAAGAAACTACTAAGTTCCAGGTATTAGAGGTACAAAGATGAATAATCCATAGGAATTCACATTCTAGTGAGGAAGACAGATCATTTCAGGAGAATGCAGCAGGCACAGAGAAAATTATGGACAGGAGGTTGTGGAAGCACATTTTAAGAGGACATTTTAATCAGGCAGGGAAGACTTCCTGGATGAGCAGGAGTTGACTAGCTGAAGAAAGGAGATAGGGACATTCCAAGATGGGAGAAACAGCATATGTAGGAAATTGTACAGATGAGGTCAATTTGAGGCAGGAGCACTGTCAGATGGGCCAGCCTAGGGGAGGGGGCTTAATATCAAGACATGAGAGCCTTTGGGCCCCATTAAGGAATTTGGATCTTTTGTGTGTGATGCTGGGGATCAAACCCAGGACCCTGGGCATGTTAGGCAAGTGCTCTGCCCCTGAGCTACACTCTCAGCTCAGAATTTGGAATTTATTCTAAAATATGGAGCCATCAAAAAGTTTTGAGCAGGAAACTTCATCTTACTTGTATTAGTACAGGTTGAGCATCTCTAATCCAAAAATCCAGAATTCCCTGAAATCTGAAACTTTGTGAATACTTAACACAAAATTTCAGATTTTGGAGCATTTCAGTTTTCATATTTTCAGATTAAGAATGTTCAACTGGTAAAGTCTATACAAACATTCCCAAATCCACAAAACTCCAAAATTTAAAACACTTCTGGTCCCAAACATTTTGGACAAGGAATATTCAACCTGTGTCTCCAATGCCTAGCACAGTGTCTGGCACACTACTGGTGTTCAGTAAATGTTTAATTAAACTGAAAATCAAAATACTGACTACCAGAAGTCTAAGAAAATGTTATTACTAAGAATTTTACTAGGCCAAACTCGTAATTTGCTATGTATTCACTTTTTTTTTGGGGGGGGGGTACCCAAGGGTGCTTAACCACTGAGCTACAATCCCCAGCCCTTTGTATTTTTTGAGACAGGGTCCTGCTAAGTTGCTGAGGCTGGCTATCCTCTTGCCTCAGCCTCTGGAGTCACTGGAATTACAGGGATGTGCTACCACACCCAGCTGTATTTACTCTTGAATGCTGATACCTTCCAGTTATCCCATGCTCTCCTCTCCTGGATGCTATCATCTTCTAACTGCCAACTCACTCCCTTTCATTTACTAAGGACTCTGGCCTCAACTTGGGCTTTCTCTCCACTCTCAGTCCTGCCATCAACTTGGGTGATTTCACCATCTAAATTGAGGAATTTCTTCCAACAACCTAATCTCATAGTTCTGAATTTTCCTCCTGAATGCCCATGCTCTCTACTCAGGCCACCTGTCCCAGGGGCACATGACAAAATTGCATCACTCACGTAGTTCAGTCTATGTTTACAATCTGATCTTTCAAGATTTCTTATACCCGATTCTCACAACACCAGCTCCTTGACTTCACAGAGTACCACCACTGCCCCACTCCCACCCCTACCACTGAGTTCCTTTATCTTGCTAAATTACCCTAGACTATCAGACTTCTCCTCCTCTTCCCAGGCTGGACCCCTATGCTTGATCATCTGAACTGCATTCCAATGGCACCCTTATTTACCATGTGTTGCTATCCTACTATCTTATTTATTTCTACTGGGAATTGAACCCAGGTGTGCTCTACAACTGAGTTACAATCTCTGGCCCTTTATATATTTTGAGATAGGCGTCATTAACTTGCTGAGGCTGGCCTCAAACTAATGATCCTCCTGCTTCAGTCTCCCTTGTAGCTAGGATTACAGGGCATACCACTGTACCCAGCTTCTATCCTACTAAAATTGTCCAACAAAACCTCAATGCTGGCTCAAGGCTACACCAGGCTTTTTTTGATCCAATATTGTGCCAGTTGCAAGGCGCTAGGTAAAATTTGAGTGTGTAGACTGTGTTTTCTCCAAATTCATGGCCTTCAATCTGCCAGGCTCCCAGCCCTGAGGGCAATCCTTCTATTTGTGTTTCATTTCCACTCCCAATACCACATTCCAAACTTTTGTCACTCTTTTCAAGACCCGTACTGAAACCCTGCCCACCTCAGTCTTAAAAAAAATACTCTTGCCTTCCACTTTATTAAGGAATTGAAAGCATAATCTCCCTAATTTTATGCCTTTCCCCTCCCTGGCTCCAATTTTTTTACAACAAAACCCATTCTGTCTCTTTCTCTAGACCTCAAACCTGCAGTGCCACTTCTATGCAAAGGTCAGCCGCTCCACCTCAGTCATAGGCTCCAGTTTTTCTGAAATTTCATTCTTCTGTACTTTGACCTTTCACCCTACTGGATCCTTCACTTCAGCCTCACTCTCATATTTTCCCTCTTCTGATGAAACAAACAAAATAAAACTGTCTCCTAATGTTTTATCCTCTTCTATCTCCCATCCCATTTTTATGCTTTTTTAATTAAAACTTTCGAGAGAAGTCCATACTGATTGTAGCCAACTAATCATTTCCCTGTCAGTCTTCTAGTACTACAATATGGCTTCTGCCACTCTACTGAAACCACTCTTTCCTAAGGTCACCTTTAATTTCTAAGTGTAAAATAGTATTGTTTTCATCTTATTTGGTCTCTCTATTGTGCTTAACAGACCATATCGTCTTTCTTTAAACATTCTAGTCTCTTGGGCCTCTGTGACATCATCATTCTACCACTTTCTCTTTTGATTTCCCATAGCCAATACCTTAGTTCAGGCCACCACCATCTCTGAGCTGGAGTACCAGAACAGTCTCCTTATGGGTCTTCCTGACCCTTAACCCACCTTCTTAACATCATATAGAGCACTCTCCATGATTTGTTTTTGTTTGTCTTCAGTGAGAAACTAATTGCCATTCTGTCTTGATTTTTTGCTCCAGCAACACCACACTGCACAAACCATACTGTTTTTCACCTCTGCTATTCCTGCTGTCGAGAATGCTTTGCCCTATCTATTGCCCATCTTGGCCTGCCAAATTCAACTCCAGGAAGTCTTCCCTTCCCTGTTAGTTTCCACAATATCTGTCACAAATCTCTCTAAGTACTGCATGTAGTATGGTACATTATGGTTACTATACTTCTATCTTCCCATAAGAGTAGCAATGTGTACCTTATTTTTATATCCTCGCACTGTGCTTAACACATGTGTGTTCAATTGAAGAATGAGTCCTTCCTCCATGGTGGGCATGTCATTCTCTAAGCACTTAAGAGAACCTTAGGACTATCTATATGGGTTTCCTTTAACTGGTGGCTTTTGATGAGATTACACTTTACAGCTGTAATAATCCTTGAAATAGCAACCCCAAGTCATTGCTTCCGAGGAGCCATTCCTACCAGCTTCTACTACCCACCAGAACGGTCCCTGCACTATATTCCAAAGCGTTTACACAAGTAATACCCGGTCGCCCACTTATCCTTTCCAAGCCTCGCCGGAGGAAGTCCTGACATAATCTATGGAAGCTCTGTGGGTCCACTTGCTGCCTCCGTCTTGGACCTGAGAATCGCTTGTCCGTTCATTCCCCTCTCCTCACCCATCCCCATTCTCCCTGGTTATTTTGGATGCTCTACCTTTCCCCGCTTTTCCACCTTTTCCTTTGGGCGGCATCTTCGAAACTTGCCGTTGAACTCTCAACTGCTCCGGTAGCCGTAAAAAGCCCCTTCAGGCCCCATGGGTATGTCTTAAACAATGCCTGTAAACGGCATCATAGTCGACCATTTTAATCGCGGCTCCAGAAGCAGGCATAGCTTGGGACAGACCCAGTCCTTTAGCTCTAGGACCAATAGGGCTAAAGATGATTGACCAATAAGAAGCTGGGTGCCGTGTTGAGGGGGCGGAGACAAAGGTGGTGTTGGGGCGGGAAAGCCCACCTCTGCGCCTTTCATTACTTCTTCAACACGCCCTTATTTGCACCACTTCCCCCGCATCCCCACTACTTCCTCCACGCGTGCGCAGTGAGAGCCTCCGCCTTCTGCAGTCCCTCGGCGCCAGCTCTGGCCAATCCCGTGGGGTCGCTAGACAAAGGGAAAGCTGGAAGAGTTATTGTGGCCACCCACTTCCGCGGCCGTCCTCCCTTACGTGGGGCCTGCCCTCCCTGGGCATTTTTCTTTCTTTCTTCTTTTTTTAAACATTTGTTTATTTTTAGTTATAGGTGGACACAATGTCTTTATTTTTTACTTTATGTGGTGCTGAGGAATGAACCCAGCGCCTCACGCATGCTAGGCGAGGTATTTTTCGTTTTTTAAATTTTATTTTGCAGCTGTAGCTCATTGAGTTCAAAAGGTGGTTTTTTTTTTTTTTTTTTAAAAAGAATATTTTACTTCCTTTAATCAAATTCAAAAACAACAGACTTTGATAGAAGACTTAGAAGATCCTTCTTTAAAGTACTATGACAATGAAGGGTAAAGTTTAACAAAAATCTTGTTGAAATGATTGCCATTATACATGGATGCCATTTTCAAGAGTTGATAACATTCCTAAATTGATATACCTAACTATGAATCCTAATACAAAACTATTTATGTTCCAGTTAATGATATTTACTAAAAAAACTTTTTTTTCTCATTTGTTTAGCCATGAATGAGAAAGTTAGGGACATTATTAAATGCACCTATTGAAAGTGAACACCATTTTAGTATTGCAAATATACTTTGTGACTTTTTGTACTAAAGGAAGACTAGCAATTTATAGCATTTAGAAAACCTGGTTTGTACTAGAATGTCTAGCTTTGTAATTCAATAACTTTAGTGATTAAAAAAAAGCTTGTTAATTTTTACATAAAATTCAAAAGGTGGTTTTTAAAAAGGCCTATCACCCACCCCTCTGCAATACTCTGTCACGGAGAAACGTTGGAAGCAGTCTAAATGCTAAATACCCTCAGTAGTTTACTGTTTAAATAAATAAACAGTAAAAAAAATAAACAGTAAAAAAATGTTTGAACAACACAAAGTGATATTATGCATATTTAAAATGATGATTGTAAGACTGTGTGTACACATAGGGGAAATGGCCTTAAGGAAGATTACAGACCAAGATACAAAATGTGATTGCATTTTAAAGAGTATGTATCATGTACTATATAATCTATGCATCTAAATGGCAGGCAGTCTATAGGGTACAGCAAAATGTGACAGGTGGTATTAGTCTACACAGGTTGTTGTGTTTTTCTGTATTTTTCCAAAGTTCCTATAATGGTGCATCATAATGATGTGGTTAAAAGCATGAATTCTGGAGCTGGATTGCCAGATTTCAAATCCCAGCTTCACTGACTACTATCTCTGTGACCTTGAGGAAGTTACCTCACTTATCTGGGTCCGTTTCATCATCTGTGAAAAGGGGTTGTTGATAATAGTACTTACAGAGTGTTAAGAGAATTAAACAAGTTCCTATTTGGGTGGTTTTCATTTGTTTGTTTGTTTGTTTTGCTTTAGGTACTGGAAATTGAACCCACTGAGCTACCTCCCCAGCACTTTTTATTTTTTATTTTGAAACAGGGTCTCACTAAGTTGCTTAGGGTCTTGCTAAGTTTCTGAGACTAGCCTCAACCTTGCAAACCTCCTTCCTCAGCCTCTCAAATTGCTGGGATTACAGGTGTAGCCACCATGACCTGCACAAATTCCTATTTGTAAAGCACATAAAACAATGAGTGTGAAGCACATAAAACATAGAGTGAATTTAAGATGAATGATTTTTGAACTTGTAACCCTTGTTTTTTCTTCCTTTACCAACAACCAGCCTTCATTTACCATTAATTTGTGCATAATGTCAATTTTTCCTCTCTTCCATGAGATAGCTGTCCCAGCTTGCCACTGCCAGCCAGAATACATGTTACCCTGGTTCAGAGTTAAGTGTTTTGTTTTGTTTTTGGTTGTTGTTTATTCATTTTTCAGCACCGAGAATCAAACCTAGGGCCTTATGCAACCAGGCAGATGCTCTACCACTGAGCCACACTCCCCAGCCTAGAATTTAATCTCTGAATATAGTCTTTGCTGGACTTAGAGATGCCTAATGGCCAAATAAGGGTGTCAGATATTTTTGAGAATGTATCCATCCACAAATCAGACATAACAAAGAGCTCCCTTATGTTGCACTGCTGTGACTTCAGGACATATCTTGGACACTCCTTGTTTTGGACTGGGAATAACTGTGAAGAATGTAACCAGTGCTGAGGGGATCATTGCTTCCCACATCTGAGAGATATCTTGCCCATGTATTGATTTTCTAGTCAGGAAAGAGATGAGGGTTGGGGTTTTACAATGAAAGTATGACCTCATGTTTATGTCCAGGAGACTCTTTTACTTCTGGTGTTTCACTGGGAAGAGCCTGTAAGATCCTTGCTTAGCATCCGGACAGCCATCTTAAGTGACAGCCGTCATTTTAAGAAAAATTTTGCTTTCCCACCCAAGGATGTATCACCACTCCCTCATACCAACCTCACCCTTAACTGCCTCCTTTAGGACCTGCCAGATTCGGCTCTAATCCCTGAGCCTGCCCCATAAAAGTCCCAACCCCCAAGCCTGTTTTGCTTCTCTCTCCATCTATGGAGAGATGTGCCTTTATTTGTCAGCTCTGACAAATAAACTCTCGTGTATAACTCTGCCTGGTCTCTGTCTTTCATTTCTTGATCTCCCTGTGCCTCGCTTTCCTTTCAGAGCCTTTCCTGTGACCAGTGGCTATGGCAGTTGGGAAGTAGGAATGAAGAAAACCAGAGTTCATATCCCAATGAAGAGCCAGCGTAAAAAGCTGATACGACAGGCAAATGCTTGTGAAAGTTCCATGCATTCCAGCAGACAATAACAGCAACAATTATGATAAGTGAGCCTGTGTACATGGCTGAATTTGCCCAAAGCAATGCCTAAAGGCCATCAGATCCAAGAAGAAAAAGATGAGGGTAGGTCTTCTGGTGTTCAAAGTAAAAAACACTTTAAGACTTTAATGTATGATCTCAACCATGCAATATGCGTCACAAAAAATGGGGCAGAGAACATCATAAAATTTTCAGTGTTTTGGGATATCAGTTTATGTCTAACTTTCATTTTCTTCTGTTTATATTCTGCTATATTGTTTTGGTATGTATTATTTTCTTCAAGAAAAAAGGCATTAAATGTTATTTGAGAGATAAACAACAACAACCAAAAAGCCGGCTTCAATATAGGGTTAAGTCTGCACCAGTCTGTGGAGGCAGACTGTGGAGGAGTCTGTGAAGCAGAGTGACAAATTAACTAAGGAGAGAGCAGGAGGAGCAGAGAGGAGGAAGATTCAGCCTTGAAACCATGGTAACATCTGCTGGAGTGTGCAAGTGACTCAGAGCCAGTAATGGCTGCCAGTTGTATTTTCTACTAATTATCTCCTCAGACTGAGGCTTCTACGCATTACTTAAACAAGGAAAAATCAGGAAGGAAAGCTGGCAGCCCTCTTCCCAGAACAGAGGTTCACAAACCTTGGCTCAGACTTAACTGCCCAACCCCACTTGCTCCCAAATCAAAGGGCTACAGTTTCTTTCCTATTTGAGATACAAGCAGATCTTATTCTGAAAGGGAAAGCTTGAAGCAATAAAACAGAGAGATCTAGTTGATTCCATTCATAGGTGGTCAATACATAGAGAGCTGTGGGTTCCAGACTCTGGGGAGAAGGGAAGAAAAAGGTCACCTTGAGAAATTGAAACCAGGAGAAAAATAAGAACATGGTGGACAAGATCAGTCACTTAAAAAAGTAGCCACTTATTATGGCAAACAGATGTAGGTATATTGCTGATAGAACTGATGTGTCTCTCTGAGTACAATCAGTGGCTGAAGATTTTCTAGCCCATTTGGTGTTATTGTCACATCTCTGACATGAAGTAATGAGGCTTTGGAGTAACTGGTTTTTCAAAAAGGGCTTCAGAGAGGAAGAATCCATCCATGTTTGCCCAGTTTCGTCTAAGCAAAAGAACGACAGTTTCTGGAAGACATGTCTATTACAGTATCTAAGAAGGTGGATTTATTTTTCAGAGGCTGTGTTCATTTATGACAGTAGAAAACAACCAACAAAAATAGCATATATACTATGAGCCAGTAGCTTTCCCTGCATGTAGGGGTGTGTGTGTGTGTGTGTGTGTGTGTGTATGTGTGTGTGTGCACGCACGTATGCCCCCGCATGCATACCCCTGCACTTTCACACATGTGCATTCCATGGTAGGGATAGAATCTACAGCTTCACGAATACTAAGCAGACACCTCTCAGTGAGTTACACCTCCTACTTGATCTCCTTAACTTTTCACAAAAGCCTTATTTGCAAAATACCACTATTGACATTTTAGAGCTAAAGACTCAGAGAAGTCAAGAAATGTGCCCAAGTTTTCACAGCTAACTACAATCAGGTTTGGGTTCTTCATTCAGGTCTTTGTGACTTCTAAGCTGGTACCCTCTCTAGAATGCTACACTGTTCCAGGCTTTGTCATCTTATAAATAAAATCTAAGTACACCCAGTACCCTTTGTTCTGAGTGCTTGTTCACCATGTTAGCTGTCCAGGGACTGTGAGGTCTGCAGTAGACACTCTGGGCAAGAGGCCCCAAGGGTCAAATTTTGTCCCCAGCATGGGACATAAAATAAATTAGCTATTCGATTATGCATCAGTGTGTGGGTTATGAGTAACCTGGAATGTGCCTACCTCTGCCTGCTGTGCTGGACCTTCCATATCATAAAAACACAGAGAAAACAAGAAGGA